TATGAGGAGAGGCTGAAGGAGCTGGGAATGTTCAGCCTGGAGAAGAGGAGGCTCAGGGGAGACCTCATTGCTCTCTGTAACTTCCTGAAGGGAGGTTGTAGTGAGCTGGGGGTCGGCCTCTTCTCTCGTGTCATTAGCGATAGGACCAGGGGGAATGGCTTCAAGCTATGGCAGGGGAGATTCAGGCTGGACATGAGGAAGTATTACTTTTCAGAAAGGGTGGTCAGGCACTGGAATGGATGCCCAGGGAGGTGGTGGAATCACCGACCCTGGGGGTGTTCAAGGAAAGGCTGGATGTTGTGTTGAGGGACATGGTTTAGTGGGAACTATTGGGAATAGGTGAACGGTTGGACTGGGTGATCTTTTAGGTCTTTTCCAACCTTGGTGATTCTATGATTCTATGATTCTATATATGCAACAGCACAAGAATGGAAAATACTGAACTACCACTTAAATAGTAGATCATGATCAGCAACTACCAAGCAGTTTGTTCCTAAGTAGAACAAACTTTTACATTTGAAGAAAAAGAAAATACTCTTTCCTTTTCCCACATACATAACTGCCCTTTCCATTCTAAGAAGGGAACCATCTGTGCCCACCCAGAAACATAATGAAGATTCACTGCTCACAGATATTCATAGCAAACAAACCCAAAAGTGTGCATTCAAGCTCTGTGCATGGGTGTCTTGAAAGAATCAGTCAATTAAATTACTACTCATTTCGAAACAAAAAAAACAAACAAAACAAAGAGCCACGAAGTGATAGTTGTACATATACATTCATACAGACCAATGAATAGCTGTTTTTGCTGCTACCAGCAACCAAAGCAAACTCCTATTTCTGACAGAATAAAAACAAGAATGATTAATGCACATATTCACTCAATTTCATGTCTACTTTCACAGTGACGTCCTTTCAGTGTACTGCATCACAGCATACAACCCAGTAAGAAGTGAATTTGTTCCTACTGCCTTCACGTGGGTCAGTAGAGAACCATTTTACTCTGTGTAGGAAATGAACATACAGGCGTCATGAAAACCCTCCTAACTGCCATCACTGTGAAGTCTAAGAAACACTACCATACGACCCTTTTGTCAGCATCCAGCCAGTGACGCTAAGCAGCAAGCACGTGAATTCAACTCTGCTCATGTCCCTTTTCACACCATTTGACCCAGTTCATTTCTAAACTAACACAGAATCTCTCCCTGCTGGTCTACTAGAATGCTACTAGCAGTTACCAGGTGTCAAAAATGAACAGAAATCCAGACATCTTTTCCCTTCTTCCTCTTCTGATTTTCTTTTTGGAAGTATCGTTCCTAAATTTGGACTGGGAATATTCAAACTACGAATAAAGACAACAGAAGCTTCTTGGTGTTTACCAAGAAGGTAGCTGAGGTTCATCCTGGAGACAGTGTCAAGGCAGCACGGCAGGAAAAAAAACAGCACAAGTGAAAGAACACAAACCAACATCTCTAGAACTTAAATACTACCAGAATTAAAGCGTCAAATGTAAGATTCAGACTAATATTTGTCTGCATTGGAAATCTTTTCTGCAACACTGCAATTTGCCATGGCTCAGTACTTGCTTATTCAGAGCATAATTTCTCACAGTAAATGCTAAATGAAAGCACCTTAGCTTAACCAAGTTTTACAATGCTAAAAATAAAGCTAATGATTAGGGCAGTTGTTTGATAGAAGGTTTCTGGGCTAGCTGTAGGTTAAAGTAATTATTTCTAAGACACTAACCTTGGGAATGATCAAATTGAGTATTGTAAGCCAGTGAAAAATCAAAACCCTAGCTTTTACACCCACACAGAAAGAGACGCTGTCAAAAACATTCCACGTAATTCCAAGATGTACAGATTCAAACCACTGAATTACAAAGTCTTCTAAGAGGGAAGAAAAAAAATAATCTGGTGATTTTTGAAGGCTTTCCTTTCAATGTACCCACTGTAAAGTTTATAAAGTTAATATGCCAGATGACAACTTAGAGAACAAGTCTATACCATGAAGTTTCTCCTGAACAGCAACACTGACTAGAAAACAAACAATTTTTGTGGAGAAAAATGGCTACTTTCATGGTGGCAAACCCACAGCATAGGAACAGCTTTTAGTCACGATATCTCATGCTGCTCAGGGAAGTGGCAGAACTTGACAAAAAAGGTTGGGAGTCTCTGCAGCCTGTAGGTCAGCAACAGCTACATTAGCAACACCTGCTCATTCTGTACGAAGGTCTGTCTTGGAGCTCTGACTTGCAGCTCTGTCACTCTGTGATGACAAATTACAAATTATTACTACCAATTGTCAAGCCCATACTGGAAGCAACTGTTGTGCAGCTGAATAGACAGTGTGTCAGCTCCCCAGCTATCACCATTTGTCATCTAATGTAATTAACTGCAATTCCTATCAATCCCAAACCAGCGTAATATGCTGCAGTGAACTGCAACAAAGCATCACCCTTCTTGCTGCCTCTGCACAGGAACAGTATCTCACCTCCATGAAGAAATGCAAAGGCGATCATGAAACAGGAAAGGGCAGACAAGAGTATGAATATATGGTATTTAGCATAATTAGCATTGTAGGAGCTATTGGGAATAGGTGAACGGTTGGACTGGGTGATCTTTTAGGTCTTTTCCAACCTTGGTGATTCTATGATTCTATGATTCTATGATTCTATAACTGGAAAGCAAGAAGAAACAATCCAGAGCCTGTAATTTAGAAGGGACCAAGTAATTGCAGGGAGCTCCTCAAATAAAGAGGAAAATAAAAGAAACTTATTGGAAGATGGAGGGGACTAAAATGCAAAACAAATGTCAGGAAATCCTTAATATATGCACTGTGCTCACTAACTATCAAACAAAGCACAAAACCTACTTTAGTTGGAAAAAACTAACAGGTTAAAATCTGTGTAACCAAGAAATGTCTGTCTATTGTTACCTTTGCTTTTCATAACCTCAGGACCTCCAAACTTACTTATATTTAAGGTACATGTCTAAATATTCTGATGATTACAAACTATTAACACTACTAACACTATTAACACTACTATATTGAAAAGAGGCAGGATAAAAGGAATTATTTTAGCACAGGAAGTACTATCTCGATGAAGGTTCTGTATGAGGCAGGAAAGATATGGGTTCAGTTTCTCTGTCTGTGGACACTGTCTGTCCTACAGTGGACAAGTCACACAGCTTATCTGTCAGCTCACCATCTGCACAATGGATGTAATTTCCTACTTCATAGGCTTTTTCTCTTGCAAGGGAAAGCTCTACTCAAGGATTCTTACCATAAACATCCTCACATGATATGGTGAGGAGAAGAAAATAAAAACATGAATATTAGAGATTAAATATGGTGTTAAAATGTAAATTAGAACATTGAAATGAGACAGAAGTTGTAATTTTAACTGAGCTATTAACAACATATTCTTAACTATATTAATAACTATAATTTTACCTGAAAACCTGGAACAAAACAAACGCCTTGAGAATCAACAATACTCCGTGCCATTTTTGCTGTTTCATCTACATTGGTGAAAAGATCTGTAAAGATGCATAGTACATATGCTTTTATTGTTTATTTTGATTTCTTTATATACTATTAAGAGACAAAAAGCTAGAGTTGGGTCACCTCCTTTTGTAATACTTCCCAGTCCCTTTGTAATATTTCTTAAATTTGTTCTAAGGGAAAATCAATACTTCTCCTCTATTTCATGTCCAGTCACATAAATTCAAATGAAGACTAAATTAAAAAAGACCCTCTCCTATCTGTCATGCTACAGCCTTTTAATCATTGTGTTCTGTAAAAGATCACTAGCTTTCCAGACAAATAGATCTAAATAGGAGTTGAGATGGCTAACAGCAGCACCTATGCTAAAAAAAACCTAGAACCTTGAAAAACATGAAACACATTTTACTGTTTTCTCTGCAAAGATACTGTTACTGTCAAACTAAACACCAAGTGACTAAAGAGGAAGTCCCTGCTACCCATCATATTTTAACAGCTCTGAATTTCTGTACGTATATTTATATATATATAATTACTATTGTTTTTAAACAAGAGACTGACAAGAATATCAGGCCCTACTATCACATCTTTCACAGAGGTTACTCTAACTGTAACTGGATGGTTATATTTCAAAACTTATTACAGACATCCCCTCTTGAGCTTATTCTTTACTCATATACATTTCTTAGGTGGCCACATAACACATCATCAAAAGACCAGAGATCTCCTGTAGATGATACCTACAGTTTTATCTTGTTTAAGTAGTAAGTCCTCCTACCAAAGATAGGTTAATCTAACTCAACTTTTAAAAAAACACTTGGAAACTTACCAGAACTTTCAATTTTACCTCCACAAATGTTTGAAAGTTTTGGATCCTACTGTGCCCAGACTAATTAGCCTAAATCATATCTTTTTGTTCTTCTCGCACTTGCTATTTCTGAACCATATAGTACTTCTATGGTAGGATAGAGAGTGAAAAAAACTGAGTGAGATTCACTTCAACTTGCAATTTTAAATACTACTTTTTCAGAATTATTAGATATACCACCGCAAGAAAACTATTCAACCAACTTGTCTTGCAACAGAAATTTCTACTTCCAAAACATTACTGTTACTACATATCACCTTCAGCCATGTTGAGCCTCACCATCCTCACCTTCCCTTGTTTTGACCCAATTCTTTCAGCAAAGCAAAAGTTTTACTGTTTACTATTTACTTGTGATAAAAGTTTCTTAACATTGTCTCCTACAATTGTGTTTCCAGAAAACAAAAGTCTTGCTTACTAGAAATACTTACAGTAGTATTTTACAGTGTTTTAATCTTATTTTTTAAATCTGGTTCTAGAACTTCCCCCCCTTCTGCCCATAGTAGCAACTGTAGGTCATGGCCATTTCAGTACTAGCTGACTAAAAACCCTTCATGCTCTTTGCTCTGCATATACCAACAATCTCCATTTTAAGGATGGGTAAGTGGCATGAAATTTGAAGTAGTAAATTACCTATGTAGCTGAACTATGTGTGGAAATGAGTAATTTCCTCAAAAGATTAATGGCACTGATGAAGAACCACGAATCAGTACTCAATACTTAAGGATCTGCATGTATATGCACGTATTCACTAGGGGTTGAGAACTTAATTGTGGAATTTGGTGGTACGTTATACTTCAGGAAAGCCTTTCTCAGATAATCCAAAATTTGGGTCATAAATTCCTTCTTTGCATCCCACTAAGGCTTACTAAGTTTTTAAGCAAGACAAGTAAACAGTGTATTAGAACACTGAGGAAAGCTCTCCTATAAACAACTGGTAAATCTCAACATCAATTACCAGAAGGCTAAGATACTCTTAGGCTTTTATTAAACAGACATGCAAGTAATTTTCAAGCCTGTTGCTAACTCTGAGATGTACAGCTAGCAATCTCTCAAAACCATTAACAAAGTATTTGTGGGTTGCAGCATCTACAATTATGCTAACTAGACTGAACTGGCAGTCAGCTCCTGTGTTTCTTCTCAAGTCCAAATACCACAAAACAACAAATACCACAGAAGTCTCCTTTATGCCAATTCTATTTAAGTCTGGATACCAGGTTAAGAATAACCAAATAAAAAGGTACCAGGAAGCTTGTTATGCTCAGGAGTAGCACATTTCAGGAACATAGTAACACACATAAAGGATGACCTCAGAGACAGAATCTGAAGAGGAAATGATTATGCAAAATGTGTGCAAGCCAATCTAAGGCATTTTAAGAGAACAGAGATTAATTCTACTAAATCTAAACTATTTGCAGTAAACACACTCACCAGAGAACCTCCTGCAAATACCGTGGATGTCCCAAACACGTAGGCTAGCTTCTTCAATCATGGATAATAACACAAAGCCCAAGATCATAGCTATAACCCTATAAAGCAGAGTAGTAAGTAGCAATATATTTCATCCTACTACAAAATCAAAAACTACTTACTTATATCCTGTGCCCACTTTATGGTAGTGCCAATGTTTGACATAGAGCCTTCAGTTAAGTAAACAACTTCTTCCCCAATCTTCCAACCAATCAGTGGATACAGACCTTAATAATTTTCCATGAAACAAAATAAAAGATGTAATTAAATTACAGTGCTTCCAGGGAAACACAGACAATGAATCCAACTAAAAACACAGCATTTATTAAAAAATTTCCTTCCAAGAATTAAAATAGCCACTTATGACAAACTAACTAACTTGGCAGACCATCAGAGTTCACAACTACAACATTTTCAACACCAGAGAAACACAGATGAGCCCAGTTTTAGTATTTTAATACAAAATTAATGATTGCTAAGTACACACTTCGAAGTACAAAGTACAAGGGCTGGAACTTACAGTGTTCCACAGGAAAATTCTGATGTGAGAAAACACAGCACCAACCCCTTACACTTCCATTCCTCTACTGTACAACACTGCTACCAAGAAGTACTAGTACACACACTAGTACACTAGTACACTAGTACACTAGTAATTATACATGGTGTCTTAACCCATTTGTTTTTTCTCCTCTGTTTTTCTGTTCTTAGGAATTGTATTTCAGGACTACTAAGACTGCCATTTCTAATTAAAAATTTTCAGAGTCCTCTACCCTGAAAACGTTTTTAAGCTGTCTTTCTACAGCTGAAGACAGAAGGCTGAGCATAACAATTTTGCATTTTCATCATTAAAAACTGTTAAATAAAACGAAATTATGTAAAACACAGCTTACCCCTGCGTGATGCACACAGATTCCCTCCTGTATTAACATTCCAGAAACCACCTGTACCCATTGTCAGTTTAACATCTCCTGGCTGAAAGCAGCATTCTCCAAACATTGCTGACTGCTGGTCAGCTACCTGCCACAGCAACAAAAATGCACTGAGAAGTTAGCCACCAACATACAAGGCTGCTGGATTTTAAGATATCGCTGCAAACATTTCAGTGTATTGAATACAAATAAGTATTCAGAAGGGAACTGAGCGTAGAGAGCATCTCTGTACAATTTCTCAAGCATTTGCATGCCATTCTAACAGTCAGATTTATCACTAGAGGCAAATTAAACATGTTTCAGTTCCAACTTCCAAGATACGAACTTGCAATGCTGAAAAATATGTTTTGAAAATAGAAACTGTCTACTGTTTGAGTCTTTTACAAGAATTATTGGGCTTCTGCAGTCTCAGGGAGAAGACAGAAAGTAGGACGGCTTGAATTTCTCTAATTACAAAGTTTTTGAGGCTCTTAACTCCCTTTTTACCTGCTGCCCCTCCTGTACCAAATCATTCCATGATGACTTTATCCAACAATGACGATTTGTTAAATTTGTTTACTTCTGTTTGTGCCTTAGTGAAAACATAAATTTACAGCTGAGACTACAGTTCTAGAAACAGCAGGAGGAATTCATAATAGAGGATATGACATACTTTCCATTTAGCTTGGTTCAGGCAGATTTTTCTACATTACTGCAATAATATGTTTTTCCTATCCAAACTCTAACTACTAAGAGAATAAAATATTGTTCTCCCCATGTTTTTAGGGAAAATAAATAAAATGTACCACAAGTGGATCCACCAACAAACACCCTTACATTGGATGGTTGGACTGGATCATCTTAGAGGTCTTTCTCAAACTTAATAATTCTATGACACGCATAGTCTTACCACAGCCAAGTTAGTATCTCATTGCAAGACTCTATTTAGAAGAAGTGACTTTAAGCTAAAGAGAGATTATCACAGCTTAGAATGGAACCCAGGTCAGTTAAATTCTATGTTCAGTACTTAATCATTTGGTCATCTAACTTCAGTGGACCATAACCTCTAGAAATCCCTTTCCACTTATCTCCTCTATGCTGTAAGCTTAGTTTCTGAAGCAAAATTTAATAACTCGTTCTACTATAGTTAAGACACAGTGAAGGAATAGGGAATACTTACTTAACAACCACATATTAAATCAGAGCTAGATAAATAAATAAAGGCACAGAAATATGAAGTGAAAAAAATCTTCACTCACCAATGCCGTTATTGGAATAGGAACCCCAAATATTTCAGAGTCAGCTGATCCAAAATTGAAGCTTAAAACAAGTTTTATGAGAAACATCACAACCCTGAATTGACCTCTTTTTAAAACAAAACCCAGACATACAAGGCCTGTGTCTGTACATAAATTAAATGTAATGCTAGCTCTTTATTTTAAAGAGAGCATTAAAACTACTGCTTTAAGAATTGCTGATGGTCAAAATAAAATTCTGGATGTAGGAATAAAACTGTACTTATGCATACAATCAAAGTTTAAACTACTTTAGTAAATTTCCATATTACTTCTCCTGTGGAGGTTTTATACAGTATTTTTATAGAAGCAGTTAATTTAATAGATATCATATCCTTAAAAATAAACCTTCACAGTTACCTTGTGTCTTTCACTGGAGGATAAATAGACATTGGAATGGAAAGTAAATTACACAAAGTGGGGTTCCAACATCTCTGAAATAACAGGAAAAAAAGCAAAAACGTCAGAAACACTCTCAGAGTGCAGCAAATAGCAGCAATGTTTACACAGCATCAACAGCACCTACCGTGAAGGGTTCAAAAACACCTGTAGAACTGGCATTTGAGTAATCTGTAGCAAATACAGAACCTAGCATGAAAAAAGAAGAAAGGTTTCAGATGCCCAAATGTTTAAGTCATTAGAAACATTTTTTCCTTAAATGTCTCCACAGCTCCCACAGAACATAAATGTCTATAGGCAAGGTCATACTGAACACCATCACTACACCAACTACTCCTGCTGCTCCCTGCAGTGCATGTATTCCAATTACTTCATTTTATTCTCATGAAGATGCCCAAAAAAGAGCTTATCACTGACTGCACTGCATTCCATCATCACCTACACAATGGCTGAACCGCCAGTCCTCACGTAGCTACTGTTCTGGGACACAACCTTGTCATGCTTCCTCATTTCTTGTAATTCTTGGCTCTTTTTTTTCCACAGATGCTTTTCTTCAGTCAACACTAGTTAGTTCTAATAATTGCCTTTAAAACTTCAATGTTTAAAAGGCTGATTAGACACAGTAATCACTTCCTTTTCTGATTACCCTTCCAATGCTCAAAAATTAATTCAAAACTTTTTTTTTTTAAAAAAGGTAAGTATTTTTAAACATACATCATCAATTAAAAAAAAGCACACATGATCAAAACGTATTTAAATTCAGTGACAGTCATGAATATCACTGCTTAGATTCCAGTACGTTTTATTACCATGTAAGAACACCCATAACACTCACCTTTAGTCAGTCTGTACAGTAACCATGTGTCCACTGTTCCAAAGCAGCAGTTATTCTTTTTGGCAGCTTCATCAGCCTGGGAACAGATGCAGAAAAAAAGGTTTTCATATTAGATACAAGAAAGGAAACATATTTCCTGACTCGTTTTTCATTTTTCTTTGTGGTTAATAACATCCTTAGAAAATAAGTCTCTAATACCCAGTATTTCTTCAAAGAAATGTGAGCCAGCTATGCAAGTAGTATTATCCTACAGAAAAACACCTCATGATCCTAACAGAGAATAAGGACAAATTTTAACAGCTGCTGCAGAGAAAAGAACAGCAATTAATCTTCGTAGTGCAGTGGAATGGGGGATAAAGGAAACGAGGACCAAAGCATACTGCAAAGTGCAAGAACAGAAGGAATTTGTGTCTCTTTTCTAATTTGTGCTCATGAAGAATGAAAACAGAGGAAGCATTTTCTGGTTTATGAGGTCATTGAAGAGTCAGATCGCCCTTTTCTTTGAGATTTTTTCCTCCTTTAAAGTAGGAAAGTGATGTTTCATCTAATGTCCACTGACCAACATTGCATACAGCCACAGAACTTAGAAAAAGAACATACAAATTAATTCATATGAAAGCATGACTGAGTGCATTATTCTCTGCAATCAAGAGATATTTTTGAGCTTTTTGGTTTGGTAATCACTTATTTGAAATATCAGAGCCTGAAAAATCCATGGAGAACGTTCATCTCACACCAAAGACCCAGAAGCTGCCTATCTTTTAATTCTGTATAATTCCAAATTCACAGCTCACGTTTTTAACAGACCCAACCAAAATATGCACATAAAAATTATCACAGACCTTCTCAAAGTTAGACTTATAACAGACAAACTCAAAAAAACACACCAGGATTTCTTTATACAGGAAAGACAGAAACGGATGATCTCAATTTTCTTAAAAAATAACCTGAAAATTATCAGAAGTAATAAAAAAAAATGAAGCTATAAATACAATAAGACAATGAGGAAAAGAGTAAGGATTAGAGCAAAGAACTAAGTAAGAAATAGCTCTGTGGTCATTGTTCCATTAGATTAAGCCAGCACAACTTATTTTACACGTTTTCCAATTTGAACTGCAACAAAACATGCAATTAATTACCACCTGGTTGTTAAGCATGGTAATGCACAGGTAACTGTAACTGGGAGAGTGCAGACTGGGAAGGTGACAGTGCCAGCTGGGAATGTGCCACAGAAAATACACAAGCAAACAAAGTAATATAACTAAGAGCAGAACTATACTATGTGAAATACTGTTTTGGGGTGTTTTTTTTGTGGCTTTTTTTTTTTTTTTTTTTTTTTTTTGAGGAAAGGAACAAAACACACATGCAGAGGTTATGCCCAGTAGCCATGATGATGGATTCAGGAAGTTACTATTTTTCCCCTTCCAGCTTACCTCAGGTATGTTTTTAAAAACCCACGACAACTTCATAGAAGCCTGTTGTGTTGAAAAGGTAAGAAAACTCGGAGCCAAATATCGATCATTTCCAGTAAAGAAATGAAGCACTGTAAAAATAACATGGATTACCTGTTTCAAAAGAAAACAGTTACTTCTTCAATCTCTTCCTTTAAATGTTTCTCATAAATTAGTACTAAGGGATGACAATCCAGACAAAAGCAATGCTCGTGCTCAAGTTCTGTCAGAAAATCCTTACTTAAAGTTTCAGTGGCAGCCTACCCACAACAAACACCAAAGAAAAGAGCAGCTGCACTAAACAGGTCTGTCTTGCTGACTTCTGATGGCACACAGAGCAACTGCTCCATATTACAGATCGTCCCCTGTGTGAGCACAATGCACAGTGTGGCTGGCAGTAGTACACACTTATTCCCTTGACAGTTCTCCTACAGCAAACAAGCTCAATTCTCTTTTAACAGAGTAATCAAAATGTAATCATTAAAGCTCCACTCAAAATACACGACAAAACGCAGTTTTTAGCTTGTTTTTGTTATGCTAGCACACTTACATAAAAGTAAGTTCAGTTTTCCCTCATAGAGTAACATTTCTTTTAAAAGAAGCATGAGCATGAGCAGCTCTGGCACCCTCTTTAGATGACCCCATTAAAAAGAAAACACTACTCCCAAAGTACTGCCAACCACAAATTACCTACATTCAAGAACTGTGCTTCAGCAGCATTAGCATGTGACATTTTTACACAATGAAGAGACTGAACTGTAACAGAATACATGACAGACTTACAGACATATTTTCCCACAGTTAAGTAACTTTGTGCACTTTATTACTTTTCTCAGTACCATTTTCCACACAAATCTTGTTTACTTTCTTGTTAAAGGCTTTAGGCTGCAGTGTTTCCTATGAATACGTTCTCAAGGTATCTGCAGTATTTCATATACCGTCCTTCTGCTTCCTGGCAATGAAGTGGTTATAATACATTCAGGCAATATGCTGCTTAGCAAAGTGTTACCTTCAGCAGAAGGGATCTATTCCAGGAATTCACAAGCTCAGCACTCCGTAAGTCTTGCCAGCTTATGAAATTATGAAAAGGTTTCCCCGTCCTCCTGAAAAGCAGCATTGGAACATCCTCACTTCCAATCACAGAACATACAGAACACATACAGCCCCACCTCAAAAGTCAGCAGGATACACTACTTCCAATCACAGCATTTAACAGCAGACCAATTCCTCACACAAGGGCACTTCCTCCTGTTGAGTGTGAGAAACTGGCCATAGGCACACAGACAGTTTGGGCACAAGGCTTCTCATCAGAATTAAAAAAAAAAAAAAAAAAAAAAAAAAAAAAAAATCAATCACAGAATCATAAAATCATAGAATCATGTAGGTTGGAAAAGACCTTCAAGATCATTAAGTCTGACCAACATGTATTAATTTCTTCCAAAGCACCAAAGCAAAAATTCTGAGCTGCTGCAAATTGCCACCATGCCAACACAACAGAGCATGACTGACAATGGCTGCCAAACAGAGTTCAGGATTTCTACAAGCTGTTCCTGTCCAGATCACTGCAACGAACATGAATTCATTTTAACTAACACAGCATATACGTACTTGTGCCATGTGATGAAAGTGGATCTTTGTGTTGAGATGCCAAGAGCAGCGACTTGCCTCATGTGAAGTCCAGCAGCTAGAAAATAAAAAGAAAACAAATGCAATAAATTGAAGACGCTCCTCCCCTTCCCCCCCAAATTACTTGTCTAATATAACTTCAAATTCTTTGGAAGGCAGAGGAAATAAACAGAATACAGGTTTACACAGACTGGGCACCTGAGTGGCTACCCAGCGAAATGATGGAGAACTCTGAACCACACCAACTGATAGCAAAGTCAATAGAGCTGCACTGCTCACAGTAGTGGAGGCACTCTGACCCTCCGTGCCATCTGAAAGGCCGGCTGGTGCCTGATTTCAGCAAACCCAGAGACAGGTGAGCTGCAAGGCACTAAGACTGTCACACCTACGTGTAAGAAACCAGTTAAAATGGGAATGTCGCATGGATGAACGTGAACAAAAGCATAAAGGAATAAGTATAATTACAAATTTAAAAACAAACAGGAAAACCCCAATAACCAAAAGGAAAGAAATGCCATGGAGAAGCAAAGCTAGACTGATTTTTGACATCCATCTTTAAGTAACGGTGTCGCTCATCTTAAACATTATAATTCTCAAGATTTTATAATAACGAGAAATTTATGTGCATCATTTAATCACTGAATGCAACAAAATATACTTCAAATTCAGAAGTAGAAGAATGTACTTTTGGTACAGGCACATTTTGTGGCTGCACTTTACTTTCAAATAACTGCAGCAGAAGAGCTACTCTAATATATAAATTGATGTAAGTATTTAAATTTGTTCCCAACCATTTTCAAAGTGACTCTAGTCACCTTCCACAGTACCTCCACGTATGCTTAGAGAAGAAAAATTACATGAAAAAATGATACAGTACAAGACTGCACATAACCATCAGGCCGTTCTGGCCAAAGCACTGCTGTTCTCAAGGGTCCTCAGCCCAACTACTTGAGCAAACCGTGAGTGCTGTGGTTACACCCTGGCAATCAGCCTCTGAGTGACGCTTCCAGAAGGGCTTCCAAAGGGAAAGGGCCCACCTGACTTGCCCACCGCTCCCGCCCCGTCCTCCCCCCTGCCCACAGACCTGGTGGTACTTCTGCCGATGTGGGCAATCATATCCATCAGCTGAAAATCAGATCAGTGCCTCTGCAAGACTGTTGGCTCCACCTGCTTGCACAAGCATTGCTGGAAAGAGCTTAAGGGAGGAGGACCTAGGAGTGGCTGGCTTAGAAACAGCAGTTCTCCCTCTCCAGCAGCAGCAGGTCTGAGCTGAAGACAGAACCAGACCAGAATTGCTGCAGCTCACTGCCAGTTGGTGTGGCAAGCTTGCTCTTCCCACCTCCATGAGCTATGAGCTGCTCCCAACACTTTTCTTGTGTCAGTCACAATGTTCTCTCAGTTCCCCTGTGAACTGGGCTTATATCCATTGGAGAGAAAAACAAAACAGAACATATGGGCAACTGGTGAGCTGCTTCTAGGAAGGGCCAAACCTCAGCCAGAGAGGAGCGGGACAGTGCAGCCAGAGGCATCTTCCACCTTAGTGCACGCCAAGCCACCTCAGCTCATATCTACACACACAGACCAGCAGCCCTGCAACGAAGCGCCCTGTGCCCGCTCTCTGCCCTCAGATGTCACTCCCACCCCAGCACCACACCCTCCTGGGTGCTGGCACAAATGCTTGCAAAACTCTACTGGCACAACAACAAGGTGTGGTGATCTGATGGGGGAAACTGTCGCAGATCTCAGCACCCCGGCAGGAAGGTGGGACGGCTGCTTTGACAGCACCGTGGGCTCACGCTCACGTTGCACAAGCACTTAAAAGTGGCCTGTTGATAGAGAACACAGCAGCAGCTTCCCCTTCTAACAGCAACTAAAGAACCTTTGTTTCCTGATTCATCCCATAAAACGGGGGAGGAGGGAGGGAAGGAGAAAGGGCAGCCTGTGAGAGGGCACGTGAACGCAGTACCCGCTGCCGTCCAGCAGGGGGCACAGCAGCCCCGGCCCGCTCGTACAGAGGCGCGCGGGGCAGCAGCAGGGCGCTGTGAGCGGCACCCACCGGGCACCCTGTTGCTGTGCTGCACCCCCAGCCCGGCCCGAACGAAACAGCGGACAGAGAGGTGCTGTTCTACACGACGGCCTTACGGCACGCCACACGCATGCGCTCAGCCGCCAATTTCCACCGCGATTTTAGAAATAAACACTAACTGCAGCTCAGCAGCCGACTAGTTTTGGCAAACAAACCACCACTTTCTCGCAGAGCTCGCAAGCCCTTACCTTGCACAGCCTCTTTTACGACACCGACAAACTGCCTCCACAGAACTTCGGGATCCAGTTCCACCCATCCGGGCCGGGGGTACAGCGCCTCCACCTGCGCACACGACACACAGCGTCACCGCGGCGCTCCACCCGACGCCGTTACACGACGGAGCACCGCCTGCGCGGAGCCCTCCGGCCCCAGGACGGCTCGGCCCCGCGCACCCCGCGTCACCTTCCTGCATCCGGAACCTCTGACGGCGGCCGCGCGGTCATAGACGTGGCACTTCACCGCCGTGCTGCCCACGTCCACCCCCACTACGTAGAGCGCGGAGGCGGCGCCGCCGCTCGGCTGCCCGCACGGCATCGCGCGCCACGCACCGAGTGCGAGCGGCCGGCTACCGCCCGCCTGAAAACCGGCGTCAAGCCCCGCCGCAGGGCGGGCTCCCGCCAGCCTATGGGCGCGGGAGGCGGAGCGCGGCCCCACAGGTGGCCTGAGGCGGGGCCGAGCGCCCCTGGGGCGGCACGGAGCACGGCGGCACGGAGCGGGGCGCCCCTTCTGCGCTCTGCCCAGCCGTTTCTGAGCGGTGCAGATATGCGCCCTCCGCACCTGCAGATGGAGCGGCTGCTTTTAAACGGAGCCATCGGAAATGCGCTGTCAGATAGGCTTAACCCGCGACAGAAACTAGGAGACTTAGGCTTAGTCCCAGAGTTTAATTAGAAGAATTGCTCGTGTCGTTTTAACCCAACCCCTCGTTGAATTAGAACAGGGAAAACAAAACAGCACTGAAAATATTTTGCCCCTGAGACTCGTGGTCGGCCCCGCTTAGAAAAGCTGCATTGCAAACAAATAAAAGGGACAACTTCGTCCCGTTGTTGTACCTTTAAACCAGGAATAGCAACAGCAGCAGAGGGCACTGGGACTAAGGTTCAGGCACCCAGGAGCGGGGCTGGGAGCCTCCTCCCCCGGGAACGACTCCTTAGAAGGCTACAATCTCTTCTTTCTGCATTGAAAACAGCAGCCTTTTATTCATCCTTATAGATAGTAAGTTCATAAGATAAACCTGCCTGCACCCTGCCCAAAGCAGGGGGAGGAACTCTTCCATCATAAGCCAATCTGTGCTTCCATCGTCTTAAATTCCATTGAGCATTTTAACAATAACTTAGGTAGGTCTTGAAAGGAGCCATCGTTTATATTTTGTGAAGAAAATAAAGTGATCCAACTTGTATAGCTACTCTTTGTACATAATCTCAATTATGTAGCACGTATAAGAGAATTGCTCAATTTATAGAAGAGCCTTACGAAATACTAATTTTATATTATTGTTCCAGTTGCAATGTGATAAAAGAAATGCAACACAATGGAGTTTTCTCAGGGAGATGCAGCTTGCCCATACAAGACTTACCTGGCACAAACTTACCTGATTTTGTCATAAATGGTATTATTTCCACACAAGTGCTATTTGTTTATCCAAAACCTCTTACCTTTAGAGAAAAAAAATCTGATTGCAAACATACACAGAAGACCCATGTTCATCTTAGCAGAAGCCAGAAACATCAATTTGAAGTAAGGGAGTACTAACACTCTTCAAAGATCTTTTATACTGCCCTGTAACACTGATACTAAACCTGCACACTCTAAGCTACCATCCTCACCTTCCTACGTAAATAAGAGCATGCGTGTGTTTTGGGTTTGGTTTTTTTGCTGTTCCAAAAGGCAGAGACTTCACACACCTGGAGTCGTGCTCCAATTACTGCAGCACCAGTTTCCCACACTTCTGTATCTTCTGTGCTGGAATCTTCAGTTTCTTTGGTCTCTGGAAAGCACAATTATTCTCTTCTCTTATTGGAATATCAAACCCAGACAAGGAGCGGTGGCACTCCAGGAACCCATCCAATACTGTGACAAAGGAAAGGAGTTATTATTCCAAACAGCAGAACATCAGGGGTAACAAAATAATCTCTGGCAACAGTGACAACACCTGCATCATGAGGAATTTGAGTATTTGTAAAAGAAGTCATCACGCTTAGCACAGTTCTGTCAGCAACAAGGACCCTCCAGAGGGTTTTCCAGTTATCCAAGTCACTATAGGTCCTGACAGCTGGGAATGCTGCAGATCCAGCAGGAATTACTAGAAAAATCCCCAGGCTTCAAGTATGAATCAAACTTGGCAGTGGCACCGCTAACAGAACTTCAGCAACCAGAACCGAGGAGAGCAAGACCCAAAGCCTGTAACTCATGCTTTTTTTTTTTTTTTTCCCCTTTAAGTTCCATTTCTTTCCTTAACTGTATTTTGTCTCATCAAACTCTGTAATCGTTCCTTTAGCTCTAGCATTTTAAGAAATTTTAATGTTATGCATTTACCTCAGTGTCTTCAGTCACTTTGCTTTTACGAATTTCCCTATTTTGCTATTGGTTGTATATCCCACATAGATGATGCTGCAAGCTTCTCCTGGAAAATTAACAGATGACCCAAAGTGAAAGCGATGAACTTTTGGCAAATTTTACTTTAATAATTTACCATATGATGGTTCTTGGTAGTTCCTCCTGTCAGAATTTACCACTCTTCTTGAAGTCAAGAGACAACACCACCAGATCAGCTAATCTAGCATTTTAGCTTCGTGAGTTTTAGGCAGTGAAGGGATATTTCTTGAGCAGATCCACTCTTGCTAAATAGTCCTGCCCTCCCACTTTCATCTGTTCTCCCAACACAGCTGTTCCTGTGGCTCCTCAGCGAGCTGATCAAGCTGAAAAATAACATGAGAGAAAGTTTCAATCAGATGAATTTCTTGATATGATTCACTGCAGCAATACAGTCTGTACACAGTTGGCACAATCAAGTGGGAACAAGTCACATGAGGCTGGTACAGCCAATATTTTCACTACAGAACTACATATCACAACTGCCCACATACATAAAGGTTTGCACTGAAGTGTCTGGGACACAAGCAATCCTTCCTTTCCACGAGCTCTCCAAAAGAAGTAACCTTTGACAGAGGCTAACGTAGATCATAGAACAAAGTTTTAGGTCACTCATGTCTTAAAACAATTTATTTGACAACGCAAGTGAAATGAGAAGTGGTATCCTTGCTAACATTCCATTGTTTGCCCATGCCTTTAAACCTGCACAAGCGATGCCCATGTTTGGGCACGTGCTATGTGTATATGCAGGACAATGGCTGTCATCCTCTGCATGTCTCTTAAGGAACTACAAACAGCTTTGAAAAACAAAGGAAGTTATGTTGTGTGTATGCACTGTTTCTATTTATGCATCTATGAGTAATGAGCATGGAAAGTCCAGGGCTGAACAGCTCTTTAAAAGAACACTGATTTCAAAGTTCGGAAATTCAAAGGAAAGACTAAAAAAAAAAGAGGGAAATGACCATCAGTGAAGCTTAAGGACAAGAGAATGGGTATGCTGGAGGCATACAATTGCTATTGCTTCACCCTATAACCCCAACAAGGTTTCTATAACAAGACTATGATTTTTACTGACAGTTACTGGCACAGAAATTACATGGTGGCTTTGGATTGGCAGCCTTGGTCTTTCTGATGCAAAAAAAATAGAGGACTAAGGGGCATTATCAACTTTCATAAAGCAATGCTGATGCATTACTGATCACTGACCAAATTTTATTGGGAAAAAAAAAATCAGTTTTAAAGGAAAATGCTTTCTCTGTCCTCTAAAATGATAGGTTTACTGTTAACACTCGACCTGTGGACTACCTATGTTCATTTTGATTTGTATTATCCTTTGCAGCAGAGATAAAACAGGACATTTTTTTAGTCACAGAGAAGTATGTAAAAATCAGCAGTAATAAGGAACCTCTGTTGAAACGATGGATTCTTTTGTTAGTAATCAACAGCTACTTACCTCATGATAGCCGATTCCTCCAAATACATAGCGGTTACAGTCTCAAAATTCAAGGGTCCTCATGCACCTTAATTTGGATTCTTAGGGCCAAAACGTTTACTCAACCTGTGTCTGTGCCCATGATGTCACTGTGTCTCTTTTCCAGAGACAGAAAGAGAACATAACTCTCCATTGTAAGGAAGGACGATTATGGAACATCTATGCAGATCACTTCTCAAAAAATGGGAGGGAAGAGACTCCTTACTGGAAGTAACCAGTCCTAGATTTGAGTTTCTTCACTCTTATGGATCATTTGTGCAGTAATTCAAATGAACTAAACTAAATTGAAAAAGAGTAACTTCAGTTTTGAATGGGAATGGCTATGCAAGATTTATTATGCACAAACCAGTATGTTTTAAAGTTGTCCCTTTACTTAAGTTCATTCTCTTTACTGCTGAGCACTGAGACAGGACAAGGCAGAAACTGCCCTACAGGACACCTGAAGTACCTACAGCCTGCTGATTAATTTGCACAGGCAAGACCATATCCTGGCATCTTCGTGTCGAATAATGTGACCTGAACGTACCAAGACTTGACTGCAGTTCTGCACAGAATACAGTTACATTAAATTAAATAGTTGGTAATGTTAAGAGTATGCTCCAATTTCTATACCTGTCATTTTAACCATGCTAATTCACGTAATAACCTGTAAAAAGGAAAGTACCAGATTTCTGCAAAAGACAGATCCTAACAAAATTTGTATGTCACAATCAAAGGTACGAAAAATTAACAAGCATGGCTACAGACTACAGTGTTCATTATGCATTACAAGCAAACAAGTAAAGTCTGAACATACTCAGAGGAAAAAAAAATACCATTCAGCATATTTTATGTACATTCTATACAAAGTCAGATTTATTTACCCTCTAAAATGATATCTAATGACGTTAATTTGGCAGTTTCAAAATCCTGCTATCATTATGGGTGAGGAAATCCAATTATGAAACATACTTTGCGATTTCTTTCTTGACAAATACAATCACATTGCATTATTTTGGTGCAGTTTGCCAATATGCTTCATTTAGAAGCCTCACTACAAATAAACTAAACTTACTGTACTCTAGCAGAAATATCAGCATAATATTTTGTTTCAGGTACAGAAGAAGGCAGTGTTCAGTTATCAAGCATTTTCAAGTATCTGCGGCTTTTCCTGTTCTTCAGCTGACAGCTATTTTTGCACCTTGACTTGAATTACTGGGACTCAACTTGCTGCAGGGCAGATTTTTTTTTTTTAAATCTAACAAGTGACAGATGCAAAAAAAATTCAGAAGATCCCCATTTAGTTCAATGCTTTTGATTTCAAACCGACCAACAGACATTTGAACAAGATTCCATCTTTAAGTGAACCAGCTCTGAGGAGGTGCGCATTTGCCACTTCTGCGAATAACAGAACTCGGTCTTCACGACACTGAATTTCCACCTTACAATTCCCATTTGGAGCATACAGAAGTTC